GCCACCACACAGAATGATTCCAAGGTGTTTACACCAGTGAACTTGAATACTGATGCTGCCAGACTGTATGTATACTGTTCTTTTATATCTCTGTATGGTTCTCAACCAAGAGTGGATAACCTATCATATCAGGTGTATTTCTGAGGAAACATTTTAAAAAACAATTGTACACCACTGGAGTCACCAGAACAGGAAAATAAAATAGTTCTGTGTTCCATTTGCTTCTTCCCTTATAATTATTTTTTTCAAATTAAAGTAGTATTTCTCCCCACAGCCTGGGTACTTTCAACTCGCATTCCACAAATCTCTACTCACATGCTGCTTATGTGCTTCTCAGATTCACTTTGTTTACTCTAGCAAAACTGTTGGAACAACCAGAAGTTAAACTCATGCAGTGACTACAAGCTTAAATTCAAGATTAGCAAAATCATTTCACTGATAGTACTTGAAAAATAAAAGACCTGACTGTTCCTGAAAATTCTCTCGTTTCCACAGAATTATGTCAGCAGAGAACATTTTAGTATTATTCTCAAAACAAGGGAGCAAAGGACACTGACCCACTAAAAGGGCAGGGCATGGATGTTAGAGAGAAACCAATCAAAATAGTCAAGATTTTAACAATAATTCCATCCCTCATTTATCTCAATTGCCCCAAAGGCCTCATCCCAAATACAATTACACTGTGAGCATTTGCTTATATTTTAATATCTCCATTAATTAACAAGTGTTTCATGAAGCTGGGCCATAACATAAAGACAGGGTATTGAGCACGTTTCAGTGCTAAAGTTCGCCCACTCTTAGATGACGTTAGAACCTAATAGGATCTGAATGTGGAACATTCTACTGCAGCAGTTCTGGAAAAACACTGCAAGTAAAGGTTCATCTCTAAGAAAGCTTTGCAGTTAACTAAAATCCCTCTGGACTAATACATATATCATAGGTATATATTAGAACAGACATATATTTACATAGTATACACAGATACCCATTAACTTACTTATAATTACAGGAGCTCCCTAATACTACACCACAGGTGCAGAAGAAATGACCATGCAACACAGCATCAAAGGCTTTATGGAAATACAATAATTACAAATGAAAACCACTTAAGATTTTATCTTTTCTTCTGAATAGAAGGGATCAAACTGTGTCCCTCCACATACACGTGTACAGGCACATACAGACACTTTTCCTTGCCTGTCGATAATAGAGATACATCTCAAGAAGGGCCCTTCAGTACCCTGACAGCTTTGACAGCCACTGTCATTACAGCTTATCAAAAAGAGGACATAGCATGATACCAGTATGTTAAAATCCTTTTCCCACTTCTGCCCTTTCCTTGACATTTCTTATCATTTGCTGTCAACACTCCTTTACATTGTAGAATTATCACTGACACACACCATTTCAGAATAAAATTTATAACAAATTAAAGACCTTGCTCTCTTCTGTCACCTATTAATTCAGAGAAGCACGAGTTCCATAAAAGCTCAAAATTCACTAAAGGTCACACCCACTGTCCAAAGAAGTCAAAACTGTATTGCCAATTAATTAAAATCGGATCAGTCTGGATGAAAGCCTGAAATTATAATAGGAAACATATTTCATTAAAAGACCACATAAGAACTTCATCACCCACTTCCAGGATTAATTTGAAAGGTCTTTATTTTAAAAGAAACTTTATGGTACAAGTAGTTTTACTAGTAAATTGGATGGTCCTTTTGAGAGTTTTTGCCTTGCATCTCATCCAGGGGTGAAGCCACAATGACAAGACACAGAGAAATCACAAGCTGGGTAGATTTGTGTTTACAGAAACCAGAAAAGTGCTAACAAGGGAAACAGCACTTTTCACAGGTTCCAAGCAAGGCTTTTCTGGTTTTAGTTTTAAGTCTGGCTTGTTCAGAATTGATCTTCTAATTCTCCCTTAATTCTACTTCCGGCCCTGACTTTTTTTGACTGAGTGTAAATGAAGACCCAGAGAGGATCCATATTTGAGGGCCCATGCACACCTTTTGTGAAAATGAACAAGCAAGCACCAACAAGCCACAAAACCTGCTTAATTTTGGGCCAGTTACTATCCTCTTGATCTCCACAGAAAACCAAGCTATGTACAAGTTGGAATAAGAACCACTGTCTGCATCATCCCACAGGCTGTTTTGACAACACCAGTTCTACCTCTTCTCCATCAGGGTTAGCTACCAACTCTTTAAAGGCCAGGCCTGAAAGCGAAGACTTGCGGACTTTTCAGGGACATATATAATACACATTAACATACCTGACCCTAGCCATCAGCCCAGAAAAGAAAGCAGCACTCAGATGCTGACAAGGAGTAGCTGGGAAAGGTGAGAGCATCTCTGGCAGCATCATCTACATCACACACCTCAACTGTACAATGATCCATGAATGTTACAAGACAGCCCTAATAAATTAGCCTGAAAGTTTGATTCTTAGTTTATGTGCTATTTTAGGAATTTTAAAACTTATTTTGAGCAATTCTTGGTCCTCTCCACTAGAAGTTTGTTTTAATAAAAATTCTGAAGAATGCTCCGACTTGTTCTATTCTCCCAAAACAATCAGTTTGGTAGTGGTTTAGCTTTGAGTTTTTTCTGTGCGTTCTTTTTTGGTTTGTTTGTTTTTTGTTTTTTTTTTCTTTCTTTTTGTTTTGTGGTTTTTAAGCAATTTTTCATTTCAGGCCAAATCATGTCCCCAAAGTGCTGTTTATTCTTCATTTCCCTTCCAAAAACCTCAGTTTACAGAGCTGTTCCAACATAGAAGTCCGACAGAGCTTTGTCTCCTCACATGAAAAACAAATCATTTAACTGAACTTGGTGCCAGTTTGGGTGGTGGTGGCCTTTCCGCATGTGAATACAGTCTCGAGAGGACCAGAACAGAAGTGGAAACCAGGATCTTGATTCTTTGTAATTACATGCAGAGTTAACTTTATGTTGATAGATTCTCGATGGCATATAAAGACATGGTAAAGCTAACACAAACTTTCATGTTTACAGATACACAGCATTCAGTGGGGTCATTGGGTCAGGATTCCCAAGACTCAACATCCTCCCATCTCTAGAACTCCTGTTCTGCATCATACACATACGGAGGGTTTCAGAGCAATGCATGCATCCAGATCAGGGAGATGCATCTCCACTGGATACTGGAGGAAAAACAAAACAAACAAACAAAAAAACAACTTTCGAGCTTTCCAGTTCCCAAAGGACTTTAACATATATTAAACACCTCCAATAAAACAGGAAACATCCTGCATAGAATGTAACTCCAGATGCCATTTCAGGTCTGACAATGTAGTCTCCTTGCTACACAGTTTGTACATCACAGTGATATTCTCAAGACAGGATGAAGCCCTCATCTCTTACCAGGAAGGTGCCCAAAATCTGCAAGACTGGGTGCTATCCTCTTCAGCAAAGGCTTTTTTTTCCACTATTTCTTGTGACTAAAAATTCAAATTGGGTTCAGTGACAATATCGTAAGTCAGAATTGTTAACATCTTTATCCAAGGCTTCTAATTTACAATGCCTTTTTTTTACACTTTGCTTACTGTGATGTAAATGGGCATTCTACTAAGAACTCTGTGGATGTGTGAAGTTGTGCACTGAAAAAAAAAAATAAAAAGGCTTGTGACAGTTATTTCAAATTCAGATTAGTATCCATGTTATTAAATTAAATTGGTCCTCTTAAACTGGCCTCAGGGATCTTTGCCCAGCTCACATGAAAGTCTCTCAGACAGGTAGAACAACCTTCAGCTCTGACATGGGGCCCATTTACTCCAGCAATAAGCAAACTAGAATGCACTGGCAGCCTAAGGCAGGAGAAACTCACTGACTTCACTATTTGCTGTAAATCTCAAATACACTTGGGCATCAAGTTCCATCAAAATTTCATCTGAGAGAGGCTTTAGTAAGAAAAAGATCTACTTTCTAGTCCACACGTGATACTAAAGCCAGTCTGGAACACAGATGCTTCAGTGAGTAACACTACCCTGGTAAAATAATTGTAGGATCTGGTCATTAAAACACTACACCAAGATGCAGAAATCTGGAGTTCAACTCACAGCTATGCCACAGACCTCCTCGGCAAGTCTGAGATGTCAGTTAATCCCTTTGTGATCAACATATTCAACGAAGTTTATTATTATTTTCTTTATATTATCCATTTGGAATAAAAACATTTATGCACTTACTGAATCTAGCAAAACAGGGCTTGAATCACATTTCAATCCCCACAGTGCCACTGTAGTATTGAGTTCCAACAGTCAGCTGGGAGAGGAAGCTGTGGCTAAAAAAATACGTCTGCAAGTGTTCTACAAAACCAGTTACAAACTGGCTGCCCTGTCATTAAGAAAGGGATATGGCTCAGGTCTGCTGAAAAATTTCCTGATACAATCCATCCCTGCAGCCAAGGGTAAATTCACACCGCCTGCACCATGTGCCCAGTGTAATTTGCTAAGTGCTGCTAAAAGAGCAGTTCTGTAAGACCTGAAGGCCTGGAGTCTGTCATGCAATACACCACTCATCAAGTTGCAGGACAACAAACCAGTAAGCAGTAAGAAAAGCACATAATTTCAACCAGCCACCCAAAAAGCATTGTTTCTTCCCTGGCATATCACAGTGCAGAAGATTACAGCATGAGAAGACAGTAATTCTCCAAAACCACCATAAAGGCAAAACAAAGAGAATCCTAATGCTTTGATTCTGCATGAGCTGGGTTCCAACAAGAACTGTATTAATGAAATGCCTTTGATATTCACACAGACAATTTCCACAGGGACAGCTCTTTGCCAGGGATGTTAAGCAGCTGGCTGATTGCAGAACAAGTAGGACCATAAGAAAAAGAAGTGAAGAAGTCAGGCTTCCTCTGGGTTTGTGTGCCAGTTGGTTTCCAAACAGGTGCAAACCTGAACTTAGGACTTCCTTTAAGTTACAATTATCACAACAGAGCTTTTGCACTTGTAGTTTCAAGTGCTTAGGTAAAGGTTATACCTGCGACGCTGTTTTCTCATCAGGGCACTAAGGGCACCCCCTCTCCTGCACTGTGCAAAATGTTACCTTTCCTGTCAAACTTGGATTGAACTGGCCAACGGGTCCACAGCTGAAAAGGGAAAAAAGATGGAAGACAACCAAGGATGACAAAATTGTTTATGATCACATATACCTTGATTCCTCAGGAAGCTAGGTTTAAAATGCCACAAAGCAAGCTTGTAGCATTTTTAGCCCAGTAATCTTAACCCTTTTCATAAAGCCTCCAAGGTTCCCAAAGATGGTTCAATAAATCAAGAGACGTATACAAGTAAAAATGGAAGATGAACAGGGAGAGATGATGGGAAAGGAGACACTTCTACATACGCACAGAATTAGTGCTCTGTACTATTTCTGCCTCAGTGCGTTAACCTTTCTCTCTCTGCCCTCCACTTCCTTTTAGTTACTCACCATGAAATAAGTCTTTTAATTGCTATGTAACTAAAGCCATCTTTCTGGCAGATTGACTGAGAAGGCCAAGCTGGTGTCTAGGGACTACAGGCCCTTTGGTGACAGTTTTAATTCTGGTCAGAGTAGAGAAGTCAATAAATCATTCTCGCAGAAGTTGTTACTGACCCTAAGCAAGCCCTGGGAGGAGAGAAGCAATCTCTATTCATTAGGAAATAAAGACTTGGTGGGTTTTTGTTGTTGTGTTTTGTTTTTTCTTTTGGTTTTGTTTTTTTGTTGTTTTTTTTTTTGTTTTGTTTTGGGTTTTTTTTTGTTTGTTTGTTTGTTTGGTTTTTTTTTTTTAAGTTTCAGATACAGAACAAAGTAGTAAAAGAAAAAAGGAAAGAGAAAAAAAAAAAAAAGAGGTAAGAAAGGCAGGAAATGCAAAGCCCAGCCTTCAATGGCCTTCAGTGACCAAGTGGAGAAAAGTGGAGAACATTTATTAAGTTCTGTTGTTTGTCAGACCTAGTACTGCCTCACCTGGAACAGAGCTGTACTGCCAGTATTTCAGGATACTGACCCAAACCTCAAGAAGGCGATAACGTACCACCAGCCTTCTCACATCATACTCCTGTGTTTTGTTTTTTCTTGACAACACATGAGTTTCCATTGGTCAAATTAAATTTTTCTTTTGCCAGATTTAGATAATTTTTTCTTTATAGAGTCTGAAATTATTTTTAGGCAATTAGCTTTGTCATTATTATTTTAATGGAAATGTGCTAATTAATACTAAGTAAGGCACCATCTTAGAGAATGCAAATAAATACTAGTTCATGACATGATTCTCCCCTCTAATTGTCTTTGTGGTCTTTGGTGACAGTGGCTGTTACACCTCCAGCCTGCTTTGTATCCACATTTATACTGTGGAACTTCACCAGCCTCTGTGAGACTGTACTTTTAACTGATAGAACATGTAAGTTTCCAACTTCATTTTCTATTTTTTAATAAGGTTTTAAAGTGATGCTTTCCATCAAAACAGGAAATTTATTTGGAATCCTCAAGATGTCAGAAAAGCAGAAAATGAAGGATTAATGACCACACAGTTTTAATCAAACAGTGAAGGGAATTTAACCCTGTTCTTTGAACACAATAGGTTAACACTTCTCTTTTTTGCATTCAGGAGGCTGAAAATGTGCACCACAATATGAGCATGTGTTTCATACACACATGCTACACAAATCTGAAGTTAATGGTCTTCAGGTGAAAACAAGTAATCACTAGATTGAAAACTCAACACATTTCATGACAGTGCTATTTGACAGGCAGCAGCTAGCAACAGCCTTCTATAGGCAATTCTGCCTTACTGGGCATCCACAGTGTACCTGTATAAAATGCTACAGGACAGCACATCTCCACAATTCAATTTCAGGTATCCTAGTTTTTGCAGTGTGGATAAAACACACTTTTCATCAACTGATTGGGTAGTACAAGTTTCCAATGCCAAGCAAAGTATTCTCAAGGTGCTATCATCTTAGTATCATAATGACAAGACTCCTTCAGAAACACCAGGAAGTAGATAAGCAACATTTTGTCACACGTATAAAAACTAATGTGTTCTGACATTGTTTCATACTCGCACAGCATTTATTTTAGAGGGTTGTCTCTAACCTTCCCTTCAACCAACGTGAATTTTAGCACTGGCTTCACTGGAAACAGGAATAAGCCCTTTATGAACAAAGATCCAAAATGACCTTTGTATGATGTAAGAGGAAAAACTGAAGTGAGGAGGATTCTCAGCACGTGAGATTTATCTACAAAGGACAAACACAGTAGCTAACAGCAATTGCTGCTGTAATCCTACGTTGCTTTACTTGATAAAAAGATTACTTTTCCACTGCACTTGGCATATTTAAAAAAATTACAATGGTGTGTCCAAGTCACAGCAGAGGTAAAGAAAACAAACCCAGCACATACATGGTTTATTATCGCTTCACTTCATCATCGACTAGAACACAAGAAAATCAATAAGAATCCTATACTAACACATCCACTATAATAAAATATATGGCTTACACATATCAAATCCTAACAAGTGTGCTTGCATGCTCAGTGGAGAAAATCACTTCATAAAACAATCCCAGGAGAGAGCTAAAAAACAAAAAGGTGTCTAAAGGAGGGACAAAACTGAATGATGTATCCAGAGGATAAAGATATAACAATAAGAACTCTTCATCAATATACCGGACTTGACAGGACAATGTTCTTATCCATTATTCTTAGTTAAAGTCACACCTCCAACGAGCCATATGCATTTTTGCCTATGCTGGAATCAGTGGACTGAACTGATTGGTGTCTATTTACATCTCCCTAATGCATTCAATTCCTTACAGAAACAACTCACGTTAAACAGAAATGACTACCTGTTTGGGTCTTGATTGTCTCCTCTGCAAGCAGAGGGATTGCACTGCATCACAGTTTCTGCTTCAAGAGTGGCCTTGGGAAATGCAGCTCCCTGGAGTTGGAAATTTTTCATAAAACCTCCATCTAGTTTTAAAGTCCTGCTAGACTCCCATCATTCACATAAGACATGCAAACAAATCAGATCCTCTTACACAATTCAGGTTAAGAAAATACATGGAATAAAACCTAGAGTTTGCCACCAAGGTTTTCAGTTACTCTGATTTGCCACACTAGCAATAATTTGCTCATTGCCCTGTATAACATAAATTTAAACTCACCTGAAGGAGTTTCTCTGTTATTTGAAGGTAGATTTTTGACAGTGTTTTTTCATGTTAAAGCCTAGTGTTCTGGCCCAGGAACTGTCTAAAGTGGTTATCTATAATCTCCTCCAGATTTAGCTTCTACTGACCTTCAGTAAGCAAGCCAAAATATTAAAAAATAACTGCTTTGATTTGAAAAAAATCACATTACCCCATGAAAGTTCAAAACCAATCCCTGTAATTACTATTACTGACCAGGAGAGAGTAGACAAGATATATTTTGTTTGAGGTTTAAAAATTTGTTATATTGTCTCTCTTTCATTCTTCAGTTCATCTGTTTGGAAATTTCAGCAATTTTTTCTCTGTAGCCAACTACACCATCTTCTTTGATAGTATGTATCCTCTTCTAGACATCAGAAAAATCTTTCAGTAAAACATACTACCAGAATAACTGAGACGTAAGACATGCCAGCGAGAAAGACATAATGATGATAAACAAAGAAGAAAGAATAGGCCTGAGAATTGCCTTGGTATTGTGACTTACATACCTTTCTAAAAGATCTAGCTTATACTATAAAAAAAAAAAAAAAAAAAGTTCTGCTGTTAAATTGCCCTTTACTTATCACTTTCTTTTCCTAAATGGTTAAAACGCAAATTCAAAGATGAGAGTGCCTCTTGAATGTTCACCTATTCCTATTTCCTTGATCTTGGCTACTGCCTATTACTCCAGATTGCTTTTACAACATCCTTTTATTGAGGTTTCTTTTCACTGCTGTGCTATAAGGCCAGAGAGACTTCTCAAATCAATTCTCAGTGCACCTGAATCAATTTCTGAAGCTCACCATGTCAAGGGAGCAACCTTTTTGATACTAGAGCTGGTCATATGAGTGTCTAATACATTGCATTAAATTTCTTCTGTAATTCACTGTCAGGCTTTAAACCTAGTGCAGACAGTAGATATAACATATGCTTGTAAAAACAGAGTAAGGTATAAACTTGCATTACAGGTATTAAAGCACACATTTGACACAACAGTTCCCTTCTATTGTGAAAACAACAATGGGATAGTCCCAATTTCTCAGCAAGATCCTGACATTTGGGCATAACACCTCACAAAGCACAAGCCTATGAATTAGTTTTACATCACAGAAATAGGACTTGAACCTTTGACAATGGCATTTAAAGATAAAGAACGAAACCCACCAGTTTCTTGGATTCAGGGGAAGACTCCGAAGTCCAGAGGATTAACTAGTGTACCCAGGAAGACGACCTTGTTTCTGACACTTAAAAAGAGGGAATGACATATAATTTATTAACAAAAATAGTCTAGAGAAACTCAAAGTCCTCTGTCTCTGTGAGGATCTCGCAGGATCTCTACTGGGCATATTCACACCTCATTCAGGAACTCTGCTTGCCAAGGAGCAAGCCAGCAGAGGCTGTTAGTCCCACTCTCACAATTCGCATCTCTCCAGTAAGAGCAATGATGATTTAGTTTCCTCCCCAAAAATGCTTTCTGAGTGTCTACTCTGCGGATGCTTGCTCCTGAACATGCTTTTATTCATGCTTTACTTCTCTCAACAGAGGTAATATTTTTTGCCGTATTTACTATAACACTCTCAATGGATCAGAAAATGCATCATTTGCCTCCTTCCTAGAGCACTTATTTGTAAGACCCAGAAGTCCTTTCCCACTTACCACCACCACAAAAGTGTCATTCTTATATCCAATTAAGAAAGAAGGTACTCCAAACTCATGAACAGAAACTTTAATTACAGAGCAGCTTTGAAATATCTCTCCACTCTACACAGATTTAATCTTCTTAAATGTGCTTCTCACTGATAATTTCATGTGGACAAACCAGCATCTTTTTATCACTGTCATGTTATTTGCAAAGTAAGTTGAGGGTCCATAAACATCACAAATGACTCCTGGTTTGTTCTCAAATTTTGGATACTGTTCCTAAGTTACATGCCTCAAAACGGTACTTAATTAAAAACACTTTGGAACAGAACAGAAAAAGACTTTGGGACAGTAGAAAAAGCAAGGTGTTGCATTTACCTATTTCTATTGTTCGCAGTTTCGTTTAGTGCAAGTACAGTGGTTCTTCCTTTTCAAGAGCTCCAAATTCTCTTTCTCCACTAACAAATAAACAAGGAGTTCCCAAATCTTAAGTTTTCTTTCAGCTTTTTATGTGACAGGAATGTGGTTAGTTATACACCTGGATTTTGTTTATGTGTGTGCATTTAAATACACACATATGTACACATACTTATGCCCTTATCTACACAAAAGAGAGAAATAGGGAAAGAGGCACATGACTAAAGACCTCTTATTTCCTCCTTACACATTTCTAGTACCAGGCTTAAACGCAATGAAAACTGAGCTTCTAAAAAATGGCTGGGTTGAACACCAGTGTAAAGTTGGTGCCAGCGTAACAGAGCAGACCCAGAAAAGAACTGTGACCAGAAGGGAACCATTTTCTCCCCACTCCCCAACCCAAAAAAGCTTTTGCTTCTTGTTAGAGGTGACACTGAAATCCCCTGTTACCTTTGGGTGAGTTCTCCCCTTCTTTTTCAAAAGGTGCTGTTAATG